CATAGTGATCACTGTGGTGCAGATCTCCTGAAGACTAACGATCCAAATCCAATTCTATTTGGGCAGGAATGTGCCTTTGTATACATATGTGGTTCCCAATCTGCTGTACTTCTCAGGACTCTGCTCTATTCCTCCCTCTGACTGTTGGACACTATGGCATCACCTCTCCAACCGATGTACAGTGACAGATCATCCCTCTGTCTAATCCCACTCCTATTTGGAATCACACATTCCCTGGATTAGAAAGCATTGTTTAATACTTCGGAGCAGCAAACAATATCAAATTGCATCTGAGAATACAAAAGTAAGTAAGCAATAGTGATTAGAAATAATCATTCTCTTTTGCAACACCTAGCCCATAATTGGTGTTCAGTTAAGTATCTGTGAAGCTGAGCCCAATAATATCAAAACAGTTCAAGAGGAAGCTTACCCCAGGGAAGAGAGCCATATGTAAGATCCACAATGGATCATTGAAAATTCGGTGTGCTTATGCTTAGAACCATAGAAATGGAGGAAGATTTAGAGACAGTTATATCACGTGAACAACTAAGGCCCAAAGAGATAGACCCAGGTCACAAACGTAATTAGTGGCAAAAGTGGGCCATGAACCAACGAGTCTTGGTCACATGCTCTTTCTAAAAACATTGTCATGTAGAAATGTATTTTTAAAATAAACTCAATTGTACTCTCAAATATGTGGTTACTGCAAAGCAGATCTCTAAGTACATGTATGTTTATCACATGCAGATAATTTTTAAATGCTGGATATTCCTAAGCCTGACCTGAGTCAAGAGACCTGGGTTCAAGTCTCAATTTTTTTTTTTTTTTTTTTTTTTTTTGCCGTACGCGGGCCTGTCACTGTTGTGGCCTCTCCCGTTGCGGAGCACAGGCTCCGGACGCGCAGACTCAGTGGCCATGGCTCACGGGCCCAGCCGCTCCGCGGCATGTGGGATCTTCCCAGACCGGGGCACAAACCCATGTCCCCTGCATCGGCAGGCGGACTCTCAACCACTGTGCCACCAGGGAAGACCAAGTCTCAATTTTTAACTAGCCCCTTGATAGCAAGTCACTTTGCCATGCTGGATATTGGTCTCCTGAACTGTAAAATGAAGATGCCAGATGTAACTGTTAGGTTACAACTGACCAAAAAAAAAAAAAAAAAATCATACTGACTTAAGCAGAAAATTCAAACTGACTTATGTCCAGAAGTAGACATGTTTCAGATGGGTCTTAAACCAAGGATTGCATCATGTCACCAGGATCTAATCTTCTCCTATCTGCCTGCTATGTTCCTCTATATTGGCTGTGCTTTTAGGCTCCATGTGTCACAAGATGGCTGCCAGCTACTCTAGGCCTGTCTCCTCTACAAGTCCTCTGAGTTAGGTAAAATCAACAACTACACTGGACAAAATGCCTTTAAGATCACTAACATTTGCATTGATTTCTGGTTCTATGAGATCCTATTAATGTCTATCTTAGATTATAAGAATATAGGAACTGTTTGGAGGAATGTTAGTAGCTCTCTGTACCCCCAAAGGAAGAAATTTGTTACGTTTCCACTGCCATGGCCATGATGTAACACACACTTCATGGTGTGCCTCACACTTCCTAGTTGTAGTTTCCTCCATGTACTCTATTGTCAAATGTCATTTTGCCTTTGAATACACTCTTCCCTCTGTCTGGGATGCCCTTATTCTTCCTTGTCTGTCTGACAAAAGCTTACTCACTGAACAATACATCCCTTTCCCTGGGAAATCTTCCCTGATTACAACCCTCCACTCAAGTGAAATTGATCACTCAGTTGTACTTAGGCCTTCCTACCTACCTGGACTGGAATATATGTCATATTGTATAGTATTCATTTATCTACATGTCTTCTCCAAGGAGTATTAACATTTGGAGGTGAGGAACCATGCCTTATTCATCTTTATGTCCCCAGTGCCAAATAACAGTGCCTGAAAGATAGCAATCATTCAATAAATTTTGATGAATCAATCAATGAATCAATAAAATCTAGTTCCTCTGAACTAGAACATTATGGACTCCCCTTCTGTCACCTAAAACACAATTTAAAATAATGCATCTCCCTCCCACACCTCACTCCAACTCTCTGACAATAGCAAATCATTTTACAGTCTTGTATGTTCATAAAGCAGAGTTGATCCTGCTTTCTAACCATTTTTAGGACAAATGTTTATCTGGTTTTCACAAAATGAATGGGATTCCACCACCACTAAATCTGAGGCGTCTGGGCATTAGAAAATATGCTCCCCAATACCCGTACAATTATATAGGTATATCTCAGTATTGCATTCATTTTCGTAGGAGTTCTTTGATGAGAATACTGGAGAATACTTTTAATAGAGTTTGTTGAATGTACAATTTGTGTTGCCTATCAATATTCCTCAGCGATGGTGGTTAATTTGAGAAAAAAATTCTGTGTGCTTTGGGAATCTGTTAAGTAATAATATTCCCCCTCATCTTCCATAGCCAGAGGTTATTATGCCAGAGGACTCTAGGGTGCAAAACCTTGCATTAGGGAACCGCAGGACGGGAAGCTGCGTGTAGGGTTATCACTCTATGGGCCCCACCTATATTCTACCTCATTATTTTTATACAGGGAGAATTAAAGCTTACAAAAAGAAAAGAAAGGTAATGTTCAAAGAGGAAGGCAGGCCATCGCTCTTGTCTTGGTTATAGGAATGTGGAAATTAACTTCTGATGACATCTATAGCTACCAGCAAGCAAGACCAAAGCATGGGTCCCTGGAACAATTTCCATGATTCACTGTCGCCTAGGAAAAGCTCAGCTTAATGGGTTGCAGTACTGACTTGGGTGTGGCTATTACTTCTTAGACCTCAATTAATAGATTGACCACCAGTTTACTGCCTGCCTTGGAACTTAAGGAACCAAGGAATTTAGTGGGATATACTATCTAAGCTCAATGATGTTTCATTTGCTTGACTCACTGACCATGACCTGGGAAAACAAACAAACAAACAAATTCCAAAATCATCTACATCTACCAAAAGAGCTCATTTGGTGTTATAATACTGATATCATTGCGATTACAAATCCACTTAGAGACCACCCACTACACCACTGGAAAAGAGTCCAATAGAGGCCTCTTAAGAGTTCACCCTCACACTCCTGCTCTAGAGGCTCCACCTTTCAGGTTCCTTGAACAAATCATGCTCTCTCTCAAATCCAGGCTTGGAGCATACTGTCCCATCTGCCTGGAACGCACTTCTCTCACTGCCTTTCTGATCCCTCCGTTTCACCTAGTCAAATCTTGTTTTCCTTCAGCTCACAGTTCTCCGGGAATACCTCCCATGATCTCCTGGACTCAATTATACCTCCTCGCATCTAGAACTTTTCCTTCCCTAACACTTGTCACACCTATAGTTATTTGTTCAGTGTTTGCCTTCCTGGATTGATTGTAAAGTCCATGAAGGCCAGGATCCTTTCTGTCTTGTTCACAGATGTGAACAAGAAAGTGGGAGCATGGAGTAGTCTTATTAAATTTGGGGAGAATTAGGAGAAAGTTCTCTTACACAAATAGCAAAAAGGGGGAATATCTGGGAAAGGAAGAAAAAGTGAAACCAAAACTAACATTTCAATATATAGTAATTCCCTCTTATGTACCAGGCACTGGACTATGATATGCTTGGGGACTGCAAAGTCCAACAAGTCATGGTTCCTGCTCAATAAATTATGGTTGTCTTGTTCGAGTCAGAAAACAGTAGGTTGATGAAACAAAAGGAAATTCGGATTCCTGAATTGGGGAGAAAAGACAGCCTTTGAATATTTTCAGATTTCATTGATTCATTTTACCTTCTTTACCTGCAACCCAAAATATACTCTGAATTCAAATTTGTGTTTGGTAGCTGAATATGGAAAGTAAAGGCCTGTTTCTTAAGATTTATAAAGACATTTGCGGGCTCTTTGCTTTGTACATTATAGTATTCTTTCAAAAAACAGGTCAATCAACAAACATTATGGAACCCCTGCTATGGGGCCAGCACCATGCTTACCGCTGCAGGCTGTAGAGTTTAAAAGAGATGCTTTATCCTGCCTTCACATCTCAGCTCTCCACATCCTTCCTAGATGCATAGCTGCTTGTGTTTGTGTATTTACCTTTTCATCTTCCCTTTAAATCAGCACTCTGTAATTGCAGTAACACATTTTGGTGCTGTGTTAGGTGAGGAAGCTGAGATAGTTGCTTGCATGACTCAACAGAGCTCATGTTCTCCCAAGTTTCTTTTATTTAACATTCCATCCTCATTCTGACCACACTGCCTTGGCAGCACCACCAAGTACCAAAGATGACAATGATTAAGTCCTGTCTCCTGAATAGAAGATACATTACAGATCTGTTTTCTTACAGTAAGGAAAATAATGCTAGTCGCCATCTGAATATTAGAGACTGTACAATTCTACCAAAAAAACACTCCTGTATTAAATTTCCACTGGCCTACCAAAAAAAAAAAGAAAGAAAGAAAGATCAAAGAATGTGTTTATCTTAGTAATTGGAGTTTTTCTTCCAGAAGCTGGCTCTGCAGAGGGGGACTGTAAAAAAACAAACAAACAAACAAACAAAAAACCTCTCCTCCCTATGCTTTGATGGGGACACCCCATGGAGCTCGAAGTGACATGACAAAAGATAAGCGTAGGTTTTTGGAAATTCTCAAGAAGCCAGGAAAGTAGAAGTACCAAAGCAGAAAATGTAAGTTGAACAAGAATTTAAACAAATTAATGTTTACTTGGTAGATATCCACCCTTCATCCCCCAGATGGTACAAATTCTAGAGACGTAAAAGAACTTGGGGTTGGGCTTCCCTGGTGGCGCAGTGGTTGAGAGTCCGCCTGCCGATGCAGGGGACACGGGTTCGTGCCCCGGTCCGGGAAGATTCCCACATGCCGCGGAGCGGCTGGGCCCGTGAGCCATGGCCGCTGGGCCTGCGTGTCTGGAGCCTGTGCTCCGCAACGGGAGAGGCCACAACAGTGAGAGTCCCGCGTACCACAAAAAAAGAAAAGAACTTGCGGTTGATTCAAATGGGTAAAATCAGAAAGCTGGAGAGAATTCAATATGAGCTATCAAAGAAAGAAGGCACTGGGGTAATTAGCCTTCCAGGAAAGCCTAAAAAAGCCTTAAAAAAAATCAGTGATAGTTCAGAGATTTCTGTGTCCAGAGTGTGCTCCTAAGGCAGTTCCTACATGAAGTCTATAAAGTGGCCCTTTTGCCCAGTATGAAGAGATGGGGTATGAACAGATACTGAATAGAAGAATACCTTCTCCTTCTAGTCAGTTCTCTGGAGTGTTGTCAACTAAGTGAGTAAAGGAAACGTATAGCTTAGTTTTTTCTCCCAAGACTGACTCACATTTTACTAAAAATAATTTGTGCCCCTCTTAATAGTTGACCAAGTGCGTTGTACTGCGCTGAACAATTAAGGTAGGCGCAGCTCACTAGTCCATCTGCAGAGCAGTCTCTGTATCCCAAGTAATGAAAAAGAAAAAAATAACTCAGTAGAAAAGTGACGATAGAATGCAGCAAACAAATTACTTGGGAATTAACACACCCCGACACACACAAAAATAAAGTCTATTCCATCACAGGAGCTTCTTTCTGCTTCCAAGAAAATCTGACGTCTAAAAAGTCAAGTACAGTCTTGGTTAAATTTCAAAGGGAGTCAGGGTATTAATCAAGGAATGCCTTTTTCTTGGTTAGGATCATATCTGCCTCTCTCCAAGAAAGTCTAGAAGACTTTGGACATTGTAAAGCTGTAGTTCTCAGAGTCTAGTACCACTTTCCGTTGGATGCCTTTCTATCAAACCATCAAGAAGTATCTAGAAAACTAGACTAGATTGGCATCCCTGCTTAGGGTGTGTCAGTCAATTCTGTTCTGCAAATGAGCCAGGATCTGGAGGCATCCTTCAGACTGGAGTGAGGAACTTGGTGGGTGGCCTACGAGTCTGGGCTTTGTAACAGAAGGACACAGATAGAACTTCTAGCCATGAGAAGCTGCAGAGGAAGATACTCAGAGTCCAGGGAAAGATGCCAGTCCACATCCAGACTACATAAACACTAAAGAGAATCAGCCCAGGTGCCAACCTAACACTATAAATAAAGAATCTTGGCTTTGTCAGAGGGAAGCCCTTATTATCTTAGGGAATATGTCACAGTTACATGGAAAAGCACAGAGAGAAATACATCAAAGGTGGGGTAACAATAAAACTCAGCATACACATAGTGATTACAGTTGCTAAAGTGCTTTCCCACAAACGATCGCATTGAATCTTCACAACTCCAGGGATAGAAGAAAGGCAAATATTTTATTATCATTATTTTATTATCATTATTGCTGTGCCCACCTTCCAGGTTTATCGTGAGGCTAGAAATCAGATGTTAAATGACACCTATCCTGCATGTGGCCACTCAACACATCTTGAGACCACCCCAGGGAAAAGAGGTCTGATCCTCCATCCTGCATAGAGGAGAGGGCCCATGTTCAGACCCTTTATGGTCCCAGTTCCCACACAGTGAGCTCACCCACACATGACTGGGCCAGATCCCGCCTCAGACCCTCAGACATCTTTGTTATGACTAATCCCACCTTTGGAATGTCTGTGGTCAATTAATTCCAATTAAGTCTTCTTATAATTCTTATAATCCTCATATACCAAAAGAAAGTCAGTTTACCTCCCCGGTTCTTAACCCCTTAAGGCTCTGTACTTCTTCTCTTTGGCTTCTCTCCTCAAACCACTAGAACCTCTGCAATCTTCTTCCTTTATGTAAAAGAGAAAGAACCAATAAACACAGCATCTCCCCACATTATGCTATATATTTCACCTACCATAGAACTAAGGAGAGGGGTGAAAATTTATTACTCCTTAATGCCACTTTAGAACCACCACAGTTCCATCCTGGTACCTTTGACATCTGACAGTACCACTTTGTACACTTCTATATTTCTATCATCTACTGACCTCCTGGTCACATTCTTTAAGACATAACACTCCTCTTCTCCCCTCAAACTCAACTTCTGCCATTATATTCCAGAAAACTTCAGTGTCTTCGGGAGCAATCCACCCAATACCTTCAATCTACTGTTCCTTGGCCTCAAATACACAATAACTATTCTCACCTCCACTCCACTTAGACTTCCCCACACTGCCAGGGTACATCCTGAAACTTGTCATCACCCAGAATGGTTCCACACCAAAAATTTTAACTACAAACACTGCATTCTCTGACCCAGCTGTCTTTCCTCCGGTGCTCTCAGGACGCTCGCTTGAACACACCTGCTCTTCAAATTCATTTAGTCCTCCAGCTCCTGGGTCTTCATTTCCTCAGAGTCCATCCACCTTCCCCCAAGCAGACTACAAGTAGTTGGCTATCTGACCTACTCACCACCAGCACCCTCAAATCCAAATATGTCTCTTCCTGTATTGCCCTCACCTAGAAAACTCCCAACACAGGATCAATGCCATCTTGGTACCTAAAAGGCTGAGCATTCCTAAGCAAAATGTTAAACCATTCAGATTTATGTCCCAACAAACATATGGTCTCCAATCTTAAGACTTCAGTATATCTCAATCTTTTCACTTAATCAACATTCCTTCCTACTCTCCTCAGTAATTATTTTAAACCTATACATCTCTGTTGAGGCCCCCTCACTCTAAGTAGGCAACATAATCTTTTTCTTCACTGAAAAAAAAAAATTGATGTCCAGAGAGGTAAGAGGAAAAGGAGGGAGTGTGGTGTCATAAAAGCTAATTTTTTGGAAGAATTCTCTACTCTCTCTAGAGACCATTAAATAGAGAAGTTCTCAGGCTCACACTAAGCTCTCTTCTCTGCTCATTTTCAGAGGTGTATCTCATCTACTCCTGTAGCTTCAATTATCTTTTTATGCAAAGGACTTTGAAATCTCTATTAGCAGTCCAGATCACTTGCCTATATACCATTAAAGCTTTAACTCAACATTTCCATTTATATATCTAGAAAGTATCTCAAATCCTCATGTCCTAAATTATTCTCTCTCTCTGTCTCTCTCTTCCTCTGTTTCACACACACACAGACACACACATCGCTTCTCTTATCTCCTCCTCAGTAAAAGGCATCACCACCCATTAGTCAAGATAGAAAACTGATAGTCATCCTTGCCTCCCCCCTCTGCCTCACCCAATTCATCAACAATTTCTACTAATATTATCTCCTGGCTTTCTCTCAAATCCAATCACTTCCCTGTTCAAATAATGAATAACAGCGCTGTTCAAATAAGGAAACTAAAGCTGAAAGAGGTTAAGACATTTCACGATACCACACAACTAGTAGGTGGCAGAGCCAACTTGTCTGCTTCCAAAGTCCATGCTAAAAATTCGACAGTACTTTTACAGGGGGCTCTCAGAGCCAAAGATATCTTCAAGAAGCACAAATTAGACTATTCCAACTGCAGAATGGCCCAAAACCCAAGGAAAGAAGGCACAGGGGGTAATCAGCCTTCCAGGGAAGAATTTAAAGCCTCAAACAAAATCAGTCAATCAATCAAAGAACTTCTGTGTCCAGGAGGCTCTCCTGAGGCAGTTTCTACATAAAGACAATAGTGGCACTTGTGCCCAGAGTGAAGAAATAGGGGTACAGATAGATGCTGGATAGAAGGAGAATATATCACAGAATGTGACCATTGATGAGGATACGTCTTGAATGAGAATAGCCTTTTGCTTTTTTTTTTTTTTTTTTTTTTTTTCGGTACGCGGGCCTCTCACTGTTGTGGCCTCTCCCATTGCGGAGCACAGGCTCCGGACGCGCAGGCTCAGCGGCCATGGCTCACGGGCCCAGCCGCTCCGCGGCATGTGGGATCCTCCCGGACCGGGGCACGAACCCGTGTCCCCTGCATCGGCAGGCGGACTCTCAACCACTGCGCCACCAGGGAAGCCCCTCTCTTTACACTTTTGATGTCAGTGAAATTGTCCATTAGAGAGACTGAGAAGAGATGAATGTTAGAGGAAAAAACATTAACGAATGGCAATTTTTCAGCATTCCCCAAAGATGAAGTTACCTTGAAAATTATGTAAGAATACACCATGAGGCCTATGGAAAGGTGATGTAAAGAGGTCTGTTTTTTATACTGTATCATCTTTCTAGAGCTATATCTTTATATCTTCCTGAGTGTGGCAGCCAAAATATTCTTTGCACTAGAAGCTGCATCTACCTCTATTCAGTGGTTCAGAATTTTAAATTACTTTTGGTTAAAAACATGGGCTTTGGAGTCTGGCAGAAATAGGTCCATGCCCTGAGTCTCTGCCTCTTCCCAGCTGTGTGGCCTTGGGCAGGTCTAAGATGAGGACAGTAACAGTATCCATCCCATAGTGTCACTGTGAGGTTTAAACCATCAGTGAATGTACAATGCTTATTGCAGTGCCTGTGGGTCTTAATAGGTGCTAATTATTAATACTATCGTTTTCATCATTATTGTTATTTTTACTATGAAACGCATACACAGGGACATGTATTTGTGTATCTAATCCATAGCAGCCGGGTCTGAAAGACAAGAAAATGTGAAGACTCTTTTAGAAGATGGGAAAAATAAATTCCAATACACATGCAAACTTAAGAATACATGGCTCTTCTGGATAACTTATGAGCTAATTTCTGGAAAGGGATCAAGAGACAATCTCTGTGAAAGTAATATTTTAATATTTATTTTTATCAAGATAATTCATGTAGATTTAGAGGCAAATCTCACTACCATAAAACTTATAACAAAAAACAATAGTCACTTATTTGGGGTAGGGTAGAGGTGGACTCAAAATACTCATTATTATATGGTGAAGGTGAGAGAAAAGGCTATATCTAGAATAACATCTAGTTTGGGGGACACCTAAGCAACTCGGTGGATAGCAGGCCCATTAACTAAGATAGAGAAGACTGGTGGATGAGCAGGATTTCAGCAGAGAGGGGAAGCAAAGAATCAAGAAACCTGATATTTAGCCATCAAAAGTGAAGATGTTGGGTAGACAATTTGATATACAGCTTAGAGGTCAGGGCATGGGTCATGGGGAAAGTTACTGATTTGGAGATTACTGGCATGTAGATGTTAAATATTTAATATTTAAATGATAGCAACTCAGGTGAAGAAAGCTAAAAAACTGATGCTGAAGCCTTTCGACATGCAGAGCTCAGGCTGAGGAAGAGCACCCAAGAAAGGTGACTGAGAAGCAACGGCTGTTAAGACTGTCAGAGTCAGGAGGATGCTGTGACTCTGGAGTAAACAGTGGTTCAGGGCTTCCCTGGTGGCGCAGTGGTTAAGTATCCACCTGCCAATGCAGGGGACACGGGTTCGAGCTCTGGTCTGGGAAGAACCCACATGCCGCGGAGCAACTAAGCCCGTGTGCCACAACTACTCAGCCTGCGTTCTGAGCCCGCGAGCCACAACTACTGAAGCCCGCACACCTAGAGCCCATGCTGTGCCACAAGAGAAGCCACTGCAGTGAGAAGCCCGCGCACCGCAACAAGGAGTAGCCCTCGCTCACAGCAACTAGAGAAAAGCCCACACTCAGCAACGAAGACCCAACACAGCCAAACATAAATAAATAAATAAATTTATATTAAAAAAGTGGTTCAAGGAGGAGGGCGTGGACAACTGTGTGCCTGCAGCTCAGTAATCACAGTATAAACCCAGCCGCCCTTTATTTCCCTGCTCCTACCCTCAATGGACCACTGGGCTTTTTCTATTATTGTTCTCTTGCATTAGAATGGCTCCTCACCTGCCAAAATCCTATCTATCCTTCATGACCCAGCAAGAATGCCATCACCTTGGTAATGCATTTCCTGACTCCACTAATTAAAAATGCTCTCTTCCTCCACAATATTCCATAGCCCATTGTATACTATAACATATTCTGACTTGTGCTGTAACTATATATATTCTCTCTCCATCCTTCCTGTATCCCAACTGGACTATAGTCCCCCAACCCCTATAATGCAGCAGAATGCTGGGCATATGCTAGGTACTCAGTAAAGATTTTTCAGAGTCAAATCCAAAAATATAGAACTCAAGCCTGGAAAAGTTTCTTCAAAGGACAATCTCCTTTAACACTTTAGATTTCTGTTTGTCAGCATGTATATCTTCTGCACCCAAGCCCAGAAATTATTTATACATTTTCCTGACCCTCTATAGAAAAATAGTGGGGGGAATCATTCCCCAAAAGCAAAGTTTTTAAATGACATCATTAAAAAAAAAAAAAAAAAACAACTACATGACCAAAAAACAGGGTAGTGTGGGCAAAGCTCCTGTCACATGCATTGGCTGCGTATCTCCTGAGCTAATGGCTATTTTAGAAACCATTTAGACTAAACTTTCCCCCAGATCTCAGGTATGAAAATAACAAGTTGCAAAAGTTCCATGGATGAAACAACATTTGTGATCCCTGAACTTCACAGTAACAAGCTAAAAAGATTGTACTAAAAAGATTGTACTAATCCAAGCCTTGGGTTAGCAGCCAGCAATTCTTCAATCTTCTTGCTTCAGATACCATCATGTGCTTTCATCCTCTGACACTGAGGAGGAGAAGTGTGGTAGAAAGAAGTCATTGGAAAGTAGTTCTGGCTAAGAGTTGGAGGAAGAGGAGAGAGAAAAACAGGTTATCAATGGTAAATACAGTCAGAGTCAAAACTTTATAAATCAAATAGAATTTCTACAAGCTTAATGAGGGAGAATTATTTGCCAAGCTGCCATGTGCAACATGCTATAAAAACAACTGGGATTTAATGTCATGAATGTTAATTTTTATGATTTCCTTTATCCCCTCCTCTTTTTTGCACCATGTTGCAAAACAGTTCTCTTTTGAAACTAATCACTCTTTTGTGGTCAACAGCAATTTACAAATTAGACCCTCAGACTTTTGCTAAAAAATTTAGGCCTTTACACATATTTGTAGATAGACAAATAGCCTAGTGATTAAGGGTATGCATTCTTTTTAGTTGCATATGCCAGATCTACCAAATATTTGTGATCATCCAAACTGGTCGTTTTTTGTTAAAATTTCTACTTTCTGCACTTTCAGACCCACATATTCAGAGGTAGAAAACTTTCTGAGAGTGCAAGGTGATGATTCTTGCAGATGCCCAGCAGTAGACTACATAAGTGTAAATAATCAACGTAGCCCCACTTTGCTGCTACACTAAAAAGTCCAGTAACCTCTTTTTCTTAATGGTGGTGCCAGTTCCACCACATTCTGGAAGGTATTGGTTCCCTTAAGTACAACGTGGAGCCATCAGAATAAAAGGGCAGCATGAGGGAAAACGACAGTGTGGGACTTTGTGGTCTATAGATTTAGTTGCTCATACAAGAACCTGAGAGGGGGAACCCCCCAAAAGATTAGTCACTTTGTTTTGTTTTGCAGAACTCAATTCAGGTTAACAAAGCATTTGCCAACAAAGGAGATGGGAGAATGGCAGTATTCACTTGCTCTGGTCTGAATAAACAAATGTGGGATTTGTGGGCTGAGTAATGTCCTGGGATAAACCAGGCATTCAGCCAAATTCTAGGAGTTTTGATGCAAAGACAGCAAGCCCACACTTTTCTTCATGGAAAGTGCTCCATGGGAGTATTGATGTCCAAAAGGGCAGCCTGCGTCTTCAACTGCCTTAAAGATTCACCCAGGGCTTCCCTGGTGGCGCAGTGGTTGAGAGTCAACCTGCCGATGCAGGGGACACAGGTTTGTGCCCCGGTCCGGGAGGATCCCACATGCCGCGGGGCGGCTGGGCCCATGAGCCATGGCCGCTGAGCCTGTGCATCTGGAGCCTGTGCTCCGCAACGGGAGAGGCCACAACAGTGAGAGGCCTGCGTACCGCAAAAAAAAAAATTAAAGATTCAGCCACAGGGAATTTTCAATGTTTCTGTAATTGAAAACCTAGATCAAGTGATAGAAGCAGAATTCCTTCTTCTTGGAAAGTGTTAAATATGCCATTCATCTCCTTTTAGAAATGTGTTATCACTGTCCCTTTTTAAATACATTACCCTGAAAATATATTATTAGGCTGCTAAAATGTGACTCTGGTCCTATCTTTCCTTTCATTCACTCATTTCATTCACTGAGTGCCTTATGTATGCTCCAGGCATCATGTAAGGCTCTATGGATGAAACAGTGACTGAGTCAGAGCCAGTCCAGCTCTTGGGAAGCCTCCGGGCAGCCTCTGACAATTTCAAGGGCACTGGAAGAGTATTACAATCTTATAATTTTATTTTTGGTTAGAGGAAAGTATTAAAATTTGCAGTTTTTTTAGTGGGAGAAACAGTAAGCCCCTCAATTAAGGTCTCAGCATAAGTCTGTGGGGAAGTCAGAGAGTTTCCCTTTATTTGACCCCCAGGATCCCCCACCATGCTGTGAGGACCAGAGTCATCACTTAACCCTAGGCTAAAGTAGATCTTATTACAAATGACAGCTAGTGAAATATTAAGGACTAAGTTTCACAGGTTCTTAACTAACTCAAGAAAAACTTCCCAGCAGCAGCTTATGCAATCTCCTTTAAATCTATAAGACTGGTTTATCTACCCAGATGAGAAACATACATGGCATATGCAGGCTAAAAGCAAAATCCCTGGAATGATTCAATGTGAATATAACATAAACTAGAAGGAGAAAGTTCACTGTGATAATTGGTACAAAGGGAGCATTTTATGGGTCTCCAGAATATCTCCAACCTTCCTTGTAATGTAGGGTCTTCTTAAGTAGTATTTACCCACATTGGAGCCTTCATATTTCCCACATGAAGATGTAATCTCATGACTTATTAACCCTCCAGAGTCCCAGGAAGAGCCTGCCAAACTGCAAATTTAGATAATTCCCTTTAAGAGGCATTATATGTAACTGCCTTTAGAAGGAAATTCGGCTACATTAGCAGAGATTTCAAGCAAGCTCTTTCACAAAAAACTGTCAAGGAGTGTTTATGAAGTCATCTGATCAGTACCAAGTTTAACATATTTAGATTAGTCTCATCAACATAACTCTTTAGGAATAAAAGTATTACAAAATCAAGGTCTGGAGAAGGAGCATAACCCCTGCTTAATTACTATGAGGAGGGGGGAGAAAGTTGAAAGAGAAAGCTATAGACAAATTGGAAAAGAGCTATTTCAGGTATAAAAAAATAAGGAAGGAAAACCTGAGCCTGGGATTGGATGATAAGCAGATAGCAGAAGCCACCACAGAAACTCTGTTTGACCAGAGGCTCAGTGCTTGCCTTGAAGGAACAAGATGAAGTGCACAGCCCACAAACCAGAGGAAGCCTGCACAGGAAGCGGAGAGGAAGATAGAGGCTTATGAACTTGGGGACAGGATGAAGCCAGTCCATGTGAGGTTCAAAAAAACCAAGTAGGCAATACGAGCATCAAAGTGTTTCCTTGTGTCATTAACTCAGGACCACAACCTGATTTCAAAACACCGTGGAACCATGGATGGAAAAACTGTGTAAACTGGGGCCATTTAAAAACATTTCTCTCCGCCGTATGCTTGTCAGAGATGATCAGAACCCTCTGAGCACTTTGCAAGGCACGCACTGGATCTCACTGTGGTGAGCGATTTGACCGGCAGTGTCACATTTCCCAGCAAAATTAGACAAGCAGCTTGACTTGACAAGTAGCATGAAATAACATAAAAAGCTTCCCTAGACAGTGCCAGAGAATTAGGTGCCAAAAGCCTGAGGTGATTATTAGAAAATGGTTCCCACCTCTAATTGTCTGACTACAGTCTCTTCATCACCAGGAAGCTGCTACAGCAGAACCCAGCCAAAGCAATCACTGCTCCCTTAGGAAGCATTCACTGTTCACCGTGAGCTCATGCTAACATTCCCGCTGTTTGCAAAGTGGCTAGATGGGGATATGACAGCAATTCCTGTTGTCAGTGAAAGAGACATTGCCCAACAGGATTTTAACTTTTAACTGGATTTCAGCCATGCTGTTTCCTTTGGTTACCTGTCAGCTGAAACTTCTTTGGTATCCAAGTTCTAGTGTATTTCATTTCTATGGTCATCAGAGCAGTACAAAGGAAGAAAAACTAGAAAGGGGTCAGGACACCCCAGTTCTGTCCCTAATCAACTGCAAGGCCTTTAGCCTGGCCAAGTTGCTTCCCTTTTCCTTTAATCATAAAATGAGATAATATAAAACCTATCTCAGAGGGTTACAGTCATAGGAGAGAACAGATGAGCAAAATGTTATAGAAGGTATATTCATATATAATACTTAAGCGGTGTGTGTATGTGTGTGTACATACAACTTTTTAAATGTTTTCCAGTTGCATAAAAGTGAGGTGTAGATCTGGCAAGTACCTGGATAAGAAAAGTGACATGGACAATCTGGATATTTAAGAACAAAAATGCCTCCCTTGATTCTACAGGGAAAAGATAATTGTCTAAATTGTTCAGACCATTTTTCTTCTCCAAGTCTTAGTCATGGAATCTATACAAGACTGAATTTCTTGATTGCTGGCAGACAAAATATTTTGAGGAAAAAATAACACTAGCTGTTGATTATTAAATGTTTACTATATGCTGGCCAATCTGTGAAGCACTTTACAAATATTACTTCACTTCCTCTTCATTACAATCCCATGAAATATGTATTATTTAATAACATTATACACTATGCCTAAGTTTAGGAAAGCAATTATACTCCAATAAAGATGTTAAAAAATGTACATTATGTAAAACCTTCCAACACATTATAAATTGAAATGTATTTAAACTCATAGCCCTGGGTTTAAAAATCAGGAAATAAAATTGTTTCTCTTGCTGAACTCAAAAAAAAAAAAAAAAAGAAAGAAAGAAATTTATTGTTTGAACTAATATTTAAATTCAGGTCTGTCTGACTTCAAGGCCCTTGGTCTTAATCAGAGCCATTACAGCTCTGTGAAGGAAATTATGTTTCTCTTTTGCCCCAACTTTTTGCAGTTACTATTAAAAGTTGGCCTGTGTGCTCTGGCTGGTTGGAGGGGCAGTCCTTGTGTGGCCCTTTGTATAAGAGCTGACAGTTACTGGAGGCCCACATAGAGGGAGTGGTATGAGGGAAGAGTTCTAAACGGAGAGGGAAAAGGAGCTTCATGGGTAAAGGACCTGTGGGACTTACACTCAGTTCTGAAAAGCTGCATTTCTTGGGTAAATGCCACCGAGGTTTGTCTTTAGACAGAACAGGAAAGAGTCCCAGAAATACACCCACACTTACATGATCAATTAACCTGCAACAAAGGAGGCAAGACTACACAATGGGAAAAAACAGCCTCTTTAATAAGTGGTGTTGGAAAAACTGGACAGTTACATGCAAAAGAATGAAACTGGACTACTTTCTCACAGCATACACAAAAATAAACTCAAAATGGATTAAAGACAAATGTAAGAACTGAAACCATAAAACTCCTAGGAGAAAACATAGGCAGTACACTCTTTGGCATTTGTCTTAGCAATATTTTTTTGGATATGTCTCCTCAGTCAAAAGAAACAAAAGCAAAAATAACCAAATAGTACTACATCAAACTAAAAAGCTTTTGCTCAGCAAAGGAAAGCATCAATAAAATGAAAAAGCCACCTACTGAATGGGAGAACATATTTGCAAACAAT